ATATTACTGCAGTTTTTTTAGTAATTTCCCAATATTTAGTTTGATCACTAAGATCACAACATGTCATAAGCATATCGATCAATAACTTTTTATGTGTAAGATTATTTTTATCAAATTTATCTTTAATCATCATTTCCTGTTTCTTTACTTTTCGAAAATGAGATGCTAAGTCTGTTGCAAGTATATTATTCTTCAACATATTTAATATTTCACCATATTCTTTACTATTAAAATTCTCAAATATATTGCAACCTTCTGTATTTAAAATACACATGGTTTGTGCGAAATGATGTCTCTGTTAAATATTGAAAATGTTGAAAATAACAAGTTATTCTATTAATATATGAGTCTTATTACAATAATTTTATTTATATTTTATTGTTAATTTACCTCCATTACAGAACCTTCAGAACTGTATAAACTAGCTAAAACTGTAGAACCTATTGTTTGAAACATATTATTTGTTCCTCTATGATCTATATCATGACATAAGCAAGATACTAAAAAAGTTAAAGCTTCTAAATGTGTTAAATAATTTTCATTAATAAGATTTAAATTTCCTATTAATAAATATGCAAAATGTGTCACTGAAAATGCATGTATCCAATTATGATATGGTGCATCTCTATATCCTTTTTTTACATACAATATAAATCTGTAAATATTTTAATTAATATTTTATTTTTATTATATTAATTTTATATCGAAAATTTTATGAATTACCTGATTAAAGTTGACAATTTCAATTTCCAATATTCAATAAGACCTAAGTCATCAAACATTTTAATTATATAACAAGGTATATTATCATAAGGTACATTTCTAGGACAAAATTCAAATTTATTAAAGTCTTTTATATCATGTTTATCCTTACAGTTCAAAATTACTTGAATACTTTCTTCATCTATCTATATATATAATATTTTATTGAAAATAAAAATCAATAAAAAATATTTATATTTTAAGAAAATTTTACCTTCATATGATACATCATCACTTCATTACTAAGCTTACTTCTTGCTTGAGCAATTTGCATTTTTTTATAAACAATACTATGCATTAAAGAAATACCACAATAAATACTAAATGCTGTTGCAACTTCTTCATCAAAAACGTCAAAGTATAATCCATTCTTTTTGTTACAAAGTTGTGCAACACCTATAATTACAATTCATATTATAGTAGACAATTTTTTTACATTTTAAAAATGTAAAAATAATGTTACTAAAAAATTTAATTTTTTTTTGTGATATATAACAATAATTTTTTCTTACCTACAATTTTTTCTTCATCTCTAATTGGAAAACATAAAATATTTCTTGTTCTAAATCCTGTTATTTGATCTATACCAGGATAAAAAAGAGGATGTTCATATGCATTTCTAATATTAAGCACTTTTCCACTAGTTGCAACATGACCTGCTATACCTTGTCCTATTGGTATTCTCATTTCTTCCAGAGACTAGAAATAATTATAATATTCTTAATTTTATATATGAAGCATATATTTAAGTTTTTAAATCTTTTTAAAATTTAAACTTACTTTATCTATAGCAATACCATCAAACACTTTAGCAACTAGATCTTGTTGTTCAGGATCTAATAAAAATAATGAACAGCGTTCTGCATTTGTTAGATTTTTAGCTTCTGTCATTATTTCTCTCAATAAATCAGAAATTTCTCCTAATTATTAATATATAAAAAATGATAAATATTTATAAATTTTTGTATATTAATTTTCTAATAATGATAATATTACCTAAATATATATAAAGTTTTCTAGAAACAGCAAGTAATTTTTGACATTGTAGTTTCAATCGAGTTTCTTCATAACATGTAAATGAATTTAGAAGAAATCCTAAGCAAAATCTATATTAAAGAAAAAATATTCAAATATATCTAAAGAAAAATATTTCTTTAATGAATATAATTTTAATATTTCATAAAATTGCTATACTATTCTAAAATTTAATTAATTAATTTTTAATATATAATACAAAAAAATTTTTAATATTTAAATATTTATATATATTTTTATAATTAAATATATATATATTTAATTTTTAAATATTTATATATATAATACAAAAAAATATTACCTAAAACAATCTTGTACTATTGCACATTTACATATAATTTCATTTTTGGAATCATTATCAATCAAACAAACTAGTAAAGCTATATAATTCTGTTTAGGATGTACTATAGGAACAGTTAAAAATGAATTTGATATTGAACATATTGGTTGAAGATGATATAATAATTCTTCATCAAGCATTGTCATATCTATAGCAGTTGGCTTTTTATTTTGTATAGTTTTATGTAAAATATTATTTGATATCTAAAAGAAGAATTACATAAAATTATATATATATATTATTAATATTAAAATTATTTAATATTTTAATATTAGGATTTTG